AAAACATTTTACAGCTAAGAGTTTCACTTCTCCTGCCAGGACTTTTTGCCCTTTGCCTGCCGTGGAGAGTGTGGTAGTGATATTACTCCCATTGAAGACCCTGGGCTCTTCTGACAGTTTCAATCTTTTGGGTGAGCTTCAGAAACGTTAGGATTATATTTTGTTCACATTAAAGTTCCATTTTTAGCTGTTTCAGGGCAAGATCTTGTATTTTATAGACTACAGCCAGACTTTAAGCATGAAAAGAAATGAAATAATGGAGCAGTACTTCTGATTTTTATTTTCCTTCTACTTAATGTGGAGGTACTAAAAATTATTATCTTTTAAAAGTATTTGTACAATGTATCTACAATGTATCTCATAAGTTCTTTTAACTATTTATTATGACAAAATAGTCCTTTTGGGCTTAGTTTCTGAAGAAGGCAGATCAAGCTGTGTAAGATAGAGGAATTGCCTCAGTTCTTTGCTCTGCCTGTGGTGTATGCCAATACTTTCCGCCACTGGCTTTGTAGACCAAAGTCTGAAGAGAGCTGCTGTCTTGAACACAAATAACTTTGGTATGATTGGCAACATGAAATTCAACAAACTGGAGTTTGCTTGCATTCATACCATTGCTGAATATTACATAGAGTAAGAGGCACCTTTGTAGATAATCTAGTTAAAACATCACAGTTGGTTATCCAACATCTCTTGTAAACTTTCACCAAAGTATCATCCCAGGTATTTCCACAGTTCACCTCCTATCATTATGAAGTTCTTTCTAATATTCAGGGGAAATTTATCCCCACCATCTGTAATTTAGGCCTTTAAATTTAATTCTGTCTTCAGGAACAGCAGAGAATATAGAAAGTTATTTAACTTTTGTATGTTTAATATTTAAACAGTGCTTTCATGCCTCTCCCTAATTTCCCTTCTCCAGGCTAAATCTACCTAAATCTTTGCCCAGGGATACTTTGCCAAACATCTTAGTTTCTTTATAGTCCTGTGGAACCATTCAATTTTGTCTTTATTTTTCTTGAATTGGGGCCTTCTGCCTGGAATTGTTTCCACTTTCCCCCATAATAATCAATCTTAACTAATGATCTGTACAGCATAAAGTGAAGCTATTGTTTCTGCAGCAAGTGGTTTATGAAATTGTATCGCTACAAGTTTCCATCTTGAGAGTTAATACCTGTGGGAAAACCTTAATATTTCCATATCCACATATAAACTCACTGCACCTGCCCCCACCCTTTCCAAAACAAATTCTTCTGACCCCACCCTATCCCATAATTTAAAAACACATTTAAAAGCCTAATTATTTTAAAGATCATTTGATACTACAAGGCACTTACAAAAAAGAAAATAGAACAAGTCAAAGAAGCATAAAGATTTTAATCTTACTTGAACCGTTGAGAAGCTAGAAATATCTGACTTGACTCCAGAGCCTGCAGATATGGATCCTGGAATAATACTGCATTTCCTATCTACTTGAGGCCCAACTATTAATTTTGCATAATGCCTCAGTCTGTGAAATCATAGTTTAATGACTGTGAAGTTATGTCATGCATTGAGAGCCTGTTAGATATATATATCTAGATATATTTTGGGAAGACAGAAACACTATATGCATATACCTGAACCAGGGGTGGGTTCCTGCCAGTTCTAACCTCTTCTATAGAAGAGGTTCCACAAATCTACTGTTGGATTGTGTAAAGGAGGCACAGTAGGCTTCAGTAAACAACAGCTTTTTATTACAAGTCAAGTAAACATCTGACTGAGGAATGGTCGGGCAGCATCCCCTTTTAAAAGGATCTGCCAGACCTCTTAGCCAATGAGATTCAACCTCTGTTCCCGCCGGAAAAGAGGACTTTGGTGGAAACCTCTTGCAGTCTGTCGGGGGGGGGGGGGGG